CCCCTCCCCGCCGGCTCCTTCCCGCGCGGCTGCCCCGCGAGCACCAAGGCAGCTCGGCCGGGACCCCCCTGGGTCCCCCGCGAGATGACCAGGTCCCAGCCCGAGGGGCCCCGAGTGCGCAGGGACCGCAGGGAGCTTCCCCAAAGCCGCTTAAGGGGCTTATGCTTAAGGGCGGGCTACAGTTTTGCATGGAGTAAGAGACAAGGAGGCTGCCGGCGCCGCTCCCGCTCCTGCACAGCCCAGGTGGGCCGAGGAGGTCCCCTGCCCGCCCGGCCCCCTGCCCGGATCTGTGTTTTTGTGTTTTCTAGGGGTTTTATACTCATCTGGGAAGCACGGTTGGAAAAGCTGCCCACATACCAGGTGAAAGACCTCTGGTGTCCCTTCCCAGCTGGATCTTCATCACAGGGCGAGGATGAGGAGGGCCGAGCCAGCGCCTCCATTTGCTCTGTGCGTGGGAAGTGGCACCCAAACGACTCCCAGCCCACGCGGGAATTTGCCATCTCCAGCCAAGGAACTCATTTAATTATATACCTCGTTCCCAGGGAACGGACGGAATTAATGTATTACAAGGGCCTTTTTTGTTTGCAAATCACCACTGTCTGCGAGCCAAGAGCTCGGATTGCTTTAATCACCGGGAACCGGCCACTGCTTCAACTGCATCCGAGCCGGAGGCGCCGCATTAGAAATGGGAATGAGTATCCTGCGTGGGGGCTCCCCGCTCCCGTCAGAGCCGTTCTCCTGGAGCGAGGAGAACCGGTCCTGGCCACCCTCCTAGGGCAGCGCTGGCACTGCCGAGGGGCTTCCAAGCCCCGGCTCAGCATTAAAACTGAACCCCGGGACGTCTCTTCCCATTCCATGTGTTCCCGAGAAGGTGTCCGAGGGTTTGTGCAGGACACTGGAAGCAGTAAGCTCAGAGATTTGCAGGAAAGCAGCCCGTTATGAAGCAAAGCAAGGGAAAAGGCCGGGAGATTAGGACTGTTCTTCTCTTACCAGAGCGCTCCATGGACAGGCTGCCATGTCTGCTCGGGGACGGGGTTCCCTCGGGAACGCTCCCAGCCATGCCCAGGCTGGCAGAGGAGATGGTGCTGTCGGAGCCCAGGGACGTGTTGGACTGGGTCAGGGACGACTTGCGCAGCTTGTTCCTCAGGAAGAAGCCCTTCACCTTGGACTTCTTGCCCCCAAAATCATCGTCGTCGTCCTCGTCGAGGGCGCCGATGCTGCTGGGGATGATGGCCGAGGCCGACTCCAGGTCATACTTCTTCTTGCCCTTCACCTTGTCCTTGAGCTTGCCGAAGGGCGAGCGCGGCTTCTCCTTCATGGACAGGTCGAACATGCTGGCCGAGAGGTTGTGCCGCGTGAACTGGATGCTCACCTCGATCTCGCCACGCTCCTTCTCCTTCTTGCCGGGCTTGGAGTGCAACTTGTGCCACCTGGAGCCGCAGGGAAGAGGAAAAAGAGGGTCCCTCTCTCACCCCCATGGGGCAAAAACCGCCAGGAGGAGCCTCGTGGGAGCAGGACGAGGTGCCCGGGCTCGGATGGGACCCACTCCTGCTCCCTCGCTCAACTCCCGCCTCTCTGCAGAGAAGCGGACACTGTTTTCTGGTGCAAACTCCTGAGTTTTGGTGCAAATGCATCTCTAAAGGGTTAAAGCCTTGGCAAGGCAGGTAAAAAAAACTGCAGCTCCGCTGCTACCACACACACAACCACTCCAAACCACACCGTAAGCAAAACAACTCCGACCCTGCTGGATCCAAACACTAAAATTCCCCTTAGTGAGGCCAAAGGAAACGCGTGGGTCCATGGTGCACATGGGGGCACACGGGGCCTTGGGAGAGGCTGAAGTACACAGCCAAGAAGAGGAATAAACTCCCGGGCCTGTAAATGCAACCATTTCCCAAGGGTTTGTGATAAAAATAAGAGAATAAATAAAAATCTCCACTGTGTTTTGCGCCCGCTTGTTAGAGTGGGCTGGAAGGGTGAAGTCATGCAGAGGAAAACGAAAAAAGGGAAGGAAAATGTGAAGCGGCGGCGATGGGTGTAACCAGGCGGAGAGCAGCAGCATGCGGGGAAAACACGATCCCGAAGTCGGTGCGTTCCTGCCACAGACACTGTCGGATCACAGCGGCAAGAGGAGCCACCTCAGGGCCCCGTAGATCAGGAAAACGGCTTTTGTGTGGGAAAAGCAGCCTGTTCTTCCCTCCTGAGCCCCTCACAAGCACCAACAGGAGAGGAGGCCCCGAGGCGGCGCGAGCACGATGCCCAGCAGCGCCCAGCGGCTCCTCATCCTGCGGGAGCAGCTGGATTCCTGCAGGAACCTGTAGGATCTGCCCAGCAGGAGCCACTGTCCCAAAGGGAGCCCCCAGCAAGGCCGGGATCTCGGCCGGGTCGGCGAGCACCGTTTGAGGGACGCCCTGGTGCCCGGGCTGCGGGTCACAGCGAAGGGAAACGCTGGAGCAGCCGCTTCTCCCATCGTGGGGAAGGTTCGGTTGGGCTCGGTGGGCAGCTGGTCCCAGCACCTGCGGCGACGGGAAGCGGAGCTGCTGGGACAACAAGAGGGACATGGAGACGGGCGGGAGCGCAAGGACCACGAGCTCCCTCCTTAGCCGGATGCTCCTGCTTTTCCCCTACCCCTTTCCGCCCCTCCCATGCACATCTGCACGCGGCTCCAGCAGTGCTAGGGATCAGAACGAGCTGAGCTCCGAATCCGGCTCCCGTTTGTCCCACGTGGGTCTCCTTCCAGAGTAAAGGAAAGCAGGAGACAGGAAAGCAGGAGACGGTCCTGGGCGCTTTGCTCCCCGCTCTGCTCTGCTTCGGGGCTTTTCCCCTACCCCTTTCCGCCCCTCCCATGCACATCTGCACGCGGCTCCAGCAGTGCTAGGGATCAGAACGAGCTGAGCTCCGAATCCGGCTCCCGTTTGTCCCACGTGGGTCTCCTTCCAGAGTAAAGGAAAGCAGGAGACAGGAAAGCAGGAGACGGTCCTGGGCGCTTTGCTCCCCGCTCTGCTCTGCTTCGGGTCCCTGTTTGCTCTGTTTAGGCTCCCCGAGAGCTGCCAGGGGCTCAGTCTCACCTACCTGGCCCCGACGGGACCCGTCCCGCACGCTCCGGATGCCAGCAGCAGAGCTGCTCCCGGCTCAGCGCTCCCAGCTTTAGAGCTGCGGG